AGGGAAGGAAGCTCTTGCCTGACCACTGTCCCACTTGGCCTTAGTTTACCCCTCTGCAGTACTCACCGCCCTTGATCAGAATTCTCTGAAAGCCACACCCACTTTTTCAAAGGGAGTGGTGTTCCACGACACAGCTCAGAAAGGCGTGGCAGGTTTACCCCACGCCTCTGACGTGTTCGCGTCCTCCTCTCTGCACCCTAACCGCCACCCCCCGCCAACCCCTCGCCACAGGGAGAGCGCAGAGCTGTCGGGCTGGCCGCCTTCCCCACCCCCACTCATACTTTGCTTCCTAATCCATCCATCTCTCTTGGCCGCTCGCTCATCTCCTGTTCATTAATCATAACGTGGCATTGCAGCAGACAGGAATATCTGTTGTATCTGAATTTAATTTTTTCAATTAAATTCAGTCTTTTTTTTTTTTACCTTAAATATTTTTAACAAGATTAGTTTAATGTATTTCAGTATCTTCGTTTCCTCTCCTCTCTCAAACATCGAAATTAAGCTGCTCGTATGTGCTTTAGCTCAGGCCTCATTCCCTCCTTTGTGGCCAATTTGATAGCCCTTGATCCGTCACCTCTGTTTCAGGAGAAGGTCACCCAGATGCCGGTGACCGTGTAGACAAGCGGAGAGAAAGCACCGCGCTCTGATGCTGTGCCACGCGTCCGACTGGGGGAGGAAGTAGGCGGGACACTGCGGCGTGGCGGGGAAGCAGAGGTGGTGAGGGGCGGGCTGTCTGTACCCCGGGCACCGCCGGCCCATTCGGAAGTGAACCAGGCGTTGACGAGTTTCGCGAGTGACAGCCCAGGGCTCCCTGGGAGAACCACCGTCTGCACCACCACCCGGTTTCCGGCTCCTCAGGGTCTCTTAGTTGTGTTTTCAGGTGTTTTTTTTCTTTTTGGTTTCCTGTTTGAATGTTTGAATTATTTCAGCTTTGGGACATTTTAGAGAATGGAAAAAAATTCTAAGTAGAATTTTACCACAAAAAACGGTGGCTTTTTTTTTTTTTTTCAGCCCTAGTCAGTGGTCTCCTCTACCATATATAGTCTGAGTGATCACAGACCAGGTTTCGGCTTCAGACAGCCGTGGCGTTAGTTTTAGGAGGTTCTGATATAATCACTCAAGAATATCTTAACTTCTGACGGTGCGGGTGGGGGTCTCCAGGCACGTTTCCGTGCCGCTGATTGGGGGAGGGATGAGACCCACTGAATCCACTTTCCGAAGTGATAGAAACACATGGCGTTTTATATCCAGCCTCATTTCGCTCGCCCCCCACTGGTCCAGTCCCAGCGGCGATGCTCCCGCCTGCAGCCACCCTCGCCACACTGCCGAAAGCTCCTGCCACCCACACGCCCTGCCTCTTGCCCTCGTCCTCGCTCCCCTGAAGCCCTGCTGGTGAAACCTTCTTACCTGCCCCACTAGACCAGTCAGCATCACAGGAGGCCAGTTCCCTGCTGTTCAGAGGGCTTCTCCCGGCAGGGGGAGGGGACTGGGTGGACAGTTGCTGAACTCTCCCTGGTAGGCTGGCAGAAGCGGGGCCCAGGGGAGACTGTGACATGTCAACCTTTATCCGCTCTCAGCTGTATTTGGGGAGATGAGATTGGACTCACGAGATCATCAAAGCTGTGATCATGACAGTGCTTTGCTAGGCCCCTCATTTATGGTGTTCTCCGTCTGCCGGTTTTGAGTTGTCATCCAGTTATTGACACATGCAGGAAAAAAAAAAAATTTTAAGTCTCCTTTTAAAGTCTCTTGCTGTAGCAAAGCTGATCGAAAGATGTCCTCAGGTCTGTAATTCAGAGGCAGGAGAGTCAGGTGATGAGGCAAGCAGCTCCCGGCGTCACATTGTCCCCATCTTTGAATTCTGGCTTGACCACTTTTTAAACCACTCTCCGTTGCAATTTCCTCATGTGCAAAATAAGGGCGATTCAAGGAAAAGCAGTGAAAATAATAACCGGCATTCATGGGGTACTTACGGTATGCCAGCCACGTGCGTGGTGCTTGACCAACACACCCTTCAGCTGTCACAGCAGCTGTCAGGGGCGGATACTGTCGAGACTTCCATGTCATCCCGCAGTAACCCTAGTGAGCGTGAGCACCTGTCGAGCACCCTGTGTCCCAGGCACTGTCACGTGCCATTTCCAACACTGAGTTAAGAAACGGAATCTGAGGGAGGTGAAGTCATTCAGCCAGTTGGGACCCACGCCATGGAGCCCCAGGGCCGCCTTACACCAGGGCATTTGTGGGAGCACATGAGATAAACCTCTCCCTGTAAACCTCTTAGCCCGCGACCTGGCGTACAGTGGAAGCTCAAACCGTAGCTGTTTTAATGATCAATGAAGCACACTTTTCCCTACTAAAACGTAGTACGTCCTTCCTCCCATTTGATGAGGAAGTCCTGCTCCCGTGACATCATCCGGGGCACCTCAATCCTGTCTGTGAGCTGTGGTTAGTATTCCTGCCAGGCGGGGGCTCTGGTGTCAGATTCGCGAGATGTGGGACGTGGCCATGCAGCCAGGCCAGGCCACAGGGCGTGACGAAAGCAGCCTGCTCACACGTGCCTTCACGAGTCCCATCTCCAGATTGCTCCCTGGGGCCCACACCAGACCCCACAATTGTGCTCCCTTGCCCTTCGTGGCTTGAGTTACTTGACCAGAAACTGGGCACGTTAGGTGGAGGGCTGCTGGGTGTTCAGGCTCGTGTTCTAGGCTCGCATGGGAAGGGGCATTGAGCCTCGTGTGTTTTTTTCCGATAAGTTGATGCTGTCACCCTTTGTTGAGTAGTGGGAGGGTTTTCATTTCGAGGATAAGGGCAGTAGGCTAGGGACGTGTGTGTGCGTGTGCGCGCGCGTGTGTGTGTGTGTGTGTGTGTGTGTGTGTGTAGGAGTGGGGCAAGCCATGATCTGCAGTAGGTCCCGGTGGAGGCCCCGGGCAGCTGCAGAGAAGGCCTTGTGCTCAGGAGAAAGCCTGGTTGGAGGTCAAATCAAATGCCCCAAGGGGCTGGATGGCAACGTGAAGGAACGCAGCAGCTCGGATGGAATCTGTGGCAAGTGAGCGCAGTGCCCACTGAGGGGGCAGTGGCCAGGCCCCCCCGCAGATGCCCGCCACGTCCACACACAGATGGGCACCACCCAGTAGCAAGTAGGCAGGTGCTGTCTGAGAGGATCTTCACAAAGGAAGAAGTGTGAGCGTGTGATTCAGGATCGCAGACTCCAGTGAGAACTCAAAACCGGGGTGGGGAGTCAGGAAACAGGCGCTCTCGTCCGCGGGGTGGGAGTTATTTTCGAAGGCCCGTGGGCAACATCTGTCAGAACAAAAGATGTGTACAGCCTTTAACCCAGAGAGTTTCCTCTCCTTAAATTATCCTAGAAGCTACTGCGAGCCACAAGGGCCGTTGGAGGACAATGTTTAGCTTACCAATGTTTGTAAGAGTGAAAAATGGAAACAATCAAATGTTTACTAATAAGGCAATACGTGATAGTCTGTCTTTACATAGAAATATTATGCAGTCTTTAAAAAGAATGTAGATCTATATGTAGTGATAAGTAAAGATGTCCAACTTATAACTTGATATAAAGTTGATATGAACAGAAAAAACAAACTAAAATCATGTGCAGCATTCCATTTTTCTAGAAAATGTTTATGACTATGAAAGAAATTACGTAACACATAGACAAAATTCTGGTTCTTCCATGAATTTAAGGATTTACAAAAAATATTTGCATATGTCAGAATTTTCAAAGTTGAGAAATCAGACTGAATTAATAATAACCAAAGTCTAAATTATAGCTGTAAAGGCGGTATGGCTCTACACTTTTAAATAATTCATAAAAAAATTTTGCTTAATTTCTAGGTGGGAGTAAGTCTATAATGAATAGCTGATCAATTCTAAACAATAAGCACCTGTGATTGAAATAGCCTTTTAAGTGATAAAATAAAATATGCGTATTTTTATTTGCTGGTAACTTTTTTAGTTTCTTCATCTGCTGGTAAATTCTTTATTGACAGTGTAAATGTACACCAAAGATGATCAAAAATGCTACAGGTGTAGATTCCAAATTAATGAGGCTTCTCCTATAGTTTGTCATTGGAATTTTACCAAAGCACATACTGTTTAGGAAACTTTCACAGTGACCCCCAGGAGGTTTGGCCATTGTTCAGAAGTTCTCTTCCTCATCTGCGCTTCAGCATTTTACATGCTCACGCAAACTGTCATTCGGAATCTACTGCACATAGTAAAATATTGCAAGCACACAGTTTGAGCTCTCCAGACCTGTGGATGTTCCCTCTTGTCCACTCAGGCATGGGAGTGTCTGCCATGAGCAGCATATCTGTCCCCATGTCACGACTCTTAAGTGGGCCACTTTCTGGAAATGATAACCTGTGTGCCTGCTTCTTGAGTCACTCGTTCCGTATGGTAAGGTGATGCTATATGTTATGGCCTGTAACTGATTTAAGAATTTCAAAGTGAGCAGAAGTGGATGGTGGTGGCGTCGCTCGAGGCCGCTGCTGTGATGCTGCCCGTGTCCTTGGCGCTGAGCAGAATCCCTGGCGTCATCTCCGGAGTCAGCAGATATTCAGCACAGGGCACGGCACACTGTGCTGGTTCTTAAATCGTTTCTTTCCGTCTTTCCCCAGTGAGGTCAGTATTTTACCCCCATTTTAGTCAAGACAACTCAGGGCAAGAGAAGTTAGGTTTCCCATAGTCACACAGCTACACAAGTAGGAGAAGCAGGTTTTGAGTTCAGATTTGAGGGATTCTGAAACCCACACTCTTTGTGGTCACTATTCCTCGTGAATTTTGAGAACAAAGATATTCTCATATGACATTGATTATAGAACTAGGCATTTCTTTTTGAATGTTTTAAAAAATGTTTATGGAAATCAGTGATAGACGCTCTGTAGGTAAAATTATCCAGTGTTTCTTTTTTCCCCCCTTAATCAAAGCTGACTTGTGTAATTGTGATGTGACTTTTTTTTTTTTAATTTGATTTTTGTAGGAAATGACCAAGTTCACTCCTGGACACTAGTCACAAGCCAAGCCTTAGATGCCACATGGAGAATAGCAAAGGGGTCCGTGATGTTGGCAGTGTCATTTCTGGTGGCCACTCTGTGCTACTTCAGAAGGCTGCACTTGTATTTAGGGCACCGGCTCAAATGGTAGGTGGCTGTGTCATCTTTAAATTTCTAAAATACCCTTGCTATCAAGGTAGAATTTTGACATTATTGTTTCCTTTACCTTTCAGGTGGATTGGATATCTGCAGAGGAAATTCAAAAGTAAATATTTTCATGCATATGTTTCCTTAATTTTAAAGTGCAGAAAGGGTTCAGGATGGAGGAGGAAAGGGAAAATGAACTACCTTTTATGTTTGGTCCAGGGAACCTCAGTGTGGCGGCGGAAGTTGACTTACTCAGTTATTGTGCAAGAGAATGGAAAGGGGAAACGCCCCGAGCCAAGCTGATGCGGAAGGTACGTTTGTTCATAAAGAGCATGGAAGGTGGAGGATCTGTCTATAAAATTCAGGAAACGAACATCCCATTCTGCTTGGCGGACCCAGGAATCAACTAATACGAAATGTGGCACAAGGAACAACTGTGGCTGTAATTTAAAAGCCAAACAGCTGCTAGACATGGTTTTGGGCCTTTTACTTAGGGTGAGAGCCTTTGAGCACATGGGTAAGTTCAGCCCATGATTTAAGCAGACTCGAGCACTGTATGCTTTATTATTATTATTTATGCCTACAGCACCTGGTCTTCCTAGGTGGTCCCCCATCCAAGTATTAACCAGGCCTGACCCCGCTTAGCTTCCGAGATCAGACATCAGGCTTGTTCAGGGTGGCATGGCCGTAGACCATGGACCGTGGCTCCACTGGGGCGTGAATCCGGGACCTTCTACGTGTAAAGCAGACGTGCTGACTGCTGAACTATGGAACCACATCCACAAGTGCTGTATTCTTTTCAGCTACCTCCCGGCCAAGACTGCAGATCTCTGCACATATGGGGAGATGTCTGTCCTTGAAGGGATCAGGCCCCTTGGCAAAAATATTTTGAGGATTTTTAGAATTTTCCATTGGCCCAATCTTAGTAAATATTCCCAGCAGTCCTACCCAACCCTGTCACTAGCAAAAGCAAAAAAAAAAAAAGGTGGGCAGCACGTTGAAAGTAGTGTTTTTAGCCTGGCCTTAAAGCTACAGTTTTTTCACTGCGGTTGAGCTGTATCCATGGTCTCCCCAAAATGACATCCCCTGGCTCTGGGCTTCCAGGAACGTATCATCTAAAATAGCACGGCACAGTCTGTATACCCAGAAGTCACTTTAAAATGGCGTGCGGCCACATCCATAATTTATCACTGTTTTTGTTTCTGTTGTCCACTTTATTTGGGAGTACGACCTCCCTGAAAACAAACTGAATTCCCTGTTCTTATTCTCTTACTCAGTGGAAGTAAGAAACAACTTCTTTTTTTTTTTTTCCTGCCCAATAGGCTTATGAGGAACTGTTCTGGCGGCGTCACGTTAAGTGTGTTCGTCGAGTAAAGAGCGATAACTACGACGCGCTAAGGTCCGTGCTGTTTCAGATATTCAGCCAGGGCCTCTCTTTCCCATCCTGGATGAAAGAAAAAGACATCGTGAAGGTACGTCCTCACCATAGAAGCGCGCCACACGTCACCTTGACAATAGCCGCACAGACGCTCGAGGCTTCTGTGGGCCGCCTGGAGCACAGGGCGTCCGAGGTTGAAGGGGCGCCGGAAGGTCCTTTGGCCAGGTCCTCGGTCTCTCGTGTCCGTTTGCAAATAAACCATCTCTAAAGGATAGTCACACTTCGTTTTCTTTGTTTTTAATGCCACCATCTTTTCTTGAGGAGGCACCTATCCTGTATAAGAGGTAAAGTGTTCTACTAAAATTCCCTTTTCACTCTACAGTTCCTTGAGTTCTGACAAACACATGCTGTGTGGAGCTACTGCCCCCAAGAGCCCCTCACTCCCCTTCATAGTCAGTCCTTGTCTCAACCCTGACCCCTGCAACACTGATATGTCTTCTGTCTCTGTAGTTTTGCCTTTTCCAGAATGTCATATAAATGGAATTATCCAAGGCGTAGCTTTTCAGATCGACGTTTTTCACTTGGCACAATGCATTCGCAATTCACCCTCGTGGTTCTGTGAATGGTGCAGTGGTTCCTTGACACGAATGTGACACAGGTTGTTTATCCATTCGCCAGCTGAAGGACAGCTGGATTGTGTCCAGTGTTTAACAACTATGAATAAAACTGGTATAAATATTCCCAGACAGGATTTTGTATGAACATGAGTTTTCGTGCCCTTTGGGATTGCTGGGTCGATATGTTAGGTGTATGTTCAACTTTATAAGAACCTGCCAGACCATTTTTTTAAAGCGGCTCTGCCATTTTACATTCCTAGCAGTCATTTCTAAGAGTGCCAGTTACTCTACAGTCTCACCGGCACTTGGCGTTGTCTGGGTTTCTTGGTTTTTAGGGGGGGTTTTGGTTTCGTTTTTGTTTCAGCCATTCTGATAGGTGTGCATTACATCACTGGGTATTTAGTTTGCATTCCTCTGGTGAGTAATGACGTCGAGCATCTTTCCCTGTGCTTATTTGCCGTTTATAGTGTCTTCTCGGAGAAGGGTCTGTTCAGATCTCTTGCCCATTTTATTGGGTTTTTTGTTTTTAAATTATTGATCGAGTTTTTAGAGTTCTTTATATATTCTGAATGCAAATGCTTTTTCAGGCATGTAATTTGCAGATATTTCCTCCCCATCTGTACCTTGCTTTTTCATTTGCTTAACAGCTTATAAGGCAATACATTCTTGAGGAATAACCTGGATTTTTAATTTGAATGCAGTACGTCTAATCTAGGATGTATATTTAAGGACGGAGGAGCAAAGAAATATAAAGCATATGCCTGTAACATATAGCTACACATGGTTCTATTTCCTTAGCATTTTTATTTAGGGTTGCTTTTATTAGTTTCATTTCATCTAGCCAATGCTCGTCAAGTGTATGCAGTGTGCTGGCCTTGGTGCTCATTGCTGAGGATACAGCTGGGGCCCGGGCTGCAAACTCGGCTGGGTGGTAATGCACTGGATGCCTGCGACGGATCAGATTCTTACATATCCCACGGTCTAACTTAATCCCAGCAAGAGTCCTGTAAAATGGATAGTACTGCCCTTGATTCATAGTGGAGGATGAAACTAAGAGGTTAAATCATCTGCTGGTTGAGTAACTTCCCAGCTGGTGAGTGACAGGGCTGGGTTTGCACCCCAAAGCGCATCATTCTAAAATCCACGTGTCCCCAGCTGTACTATGTGGCCCTAGCATTGTTTGGTCAAAAATAATTTCTAAAGGGAAATATCTAAGAAGTTTGGAAAATGTATTATCCAAAAAGACAGTTTCTATAGATTTACTCTTATACCGAGGTTTTTGTCAGTTGTGAAATCATGAATTAAGAATATGATCCAAATTACTGAACCTGCAAATCAAAAAAAATGATTATATGCTTTTCCTTAACTGCTGTTACGGTGTTTTTAAATGAAGATTGCTAAGTGAGATGAGATTAAGTGCTGTGTCGTCAATGTTGAGATACTAATCATTGTCGGCATCTTCTTTTTCAAGCTTCCCGAAAAACTGCTCTTTTCACAAGGTTGTAATTGGATCCAGCAATACAGTTTTGGTCCTGAGAGGTATACAGGTTCAAATGTGTTTGGAAAATTACGTAAATGTGTGGAATTATTGAAAACGCAGGTGAGTGTCGAGAGGGGGGTGGTGTGTGTAAAAGATGAGAAACAAAAGCATCCATCCTAAATGTCCCTTTTCTCTGATGTCAGGCATATTACTCTGTTCGGTAGGTGGGAAATGCAGCCAGAAAAGCTGCTTCTAGTAACCGATGATTTCTTCTGCTTGTTCATTCTCCTTCCAATGAGTGCCCGAGAGCAGGGTTGTTCTCTGTGATATTAGGCCCTTGATGGATTAAGGAGCCCTTTGTGGGCTGGCCAGGAACCTTAATGATCCAGTACCTTCGTTTCCC